TTTTGTTCTTCTTAACAACAAACAGCAATAAAAAACAATAAAGCTCAGCGCTGGTTCGGCTTTCCAAAATGAGATAGTCCTCTCGTTTCACTCGCTTCATTTTTTCTTTCTTATGTTAGTTATTTGATAGTTTCACCATCAGCGTGCGTAATGGAGACGACCACCGAATTTTCTGTATACAACTCAAAACTCGCTCAGGTGAATACTGATTCTTGGTTTAAGGGTAATTTTTACTGGTAAACATGTTAATTTTCACCAGTAAACATATAGGAAGGTGAAAACAACAGCACATCATCGAATAGCGTATGAAATCAGTAATTTTTACCCTTCAATTTGTTTATCTTTCTATTCCATTTATCGGCTTACGGCTTCTTCTGCGGATGTTTTCTGTCACAGCGTTTCAAAGAATATAAGTACTGCTCTTAACATCCTTTGATAAAGCGGAAGAAGTACCAGTTCATAACTATAAATTTTATTTCAAATCTTCAGTTCACACAACACTTCTTCTTCTTCTTATTCTTTAGCGTCTGTCCCGCTTGTAGGCGGGGTCCGCTTTTCTGATGTGTTGACGCCACTTTTCCCGATTAAATGCTTGATCGGGGTGGATGTTAACCTCTTCAAGTCTTCGTGCAACGTATCGAGCCATCGCTGCTTCGGGCGTCCTCTAGGCCGCTTTCCGGCACGTCAAGGTTGAGACCGATCTTACGGACACTGTCATCATTCGCGCGAAGAACATGACCATACCATCGAGACGGGCTTCGCGCATTTTATCAACAATCGGAGCTACACCGAATCGCTCCCTGATGACATCGTGTGACTCCGGCTGTCCAGCGCAGCATCTTTGTCTCCATCACACCGAGACGGGCTTCAACTTCTTTGGTCGCAGGCCAGCACTCAGCACCGTAAATGGCGACCGGCCGGATGACGGTTCTATAGATCTTAGATTTGAGACGTTCTGGTATGTTCTTATCGCAGAGAACGCCAGTCATCGAGCGCCATTTGGACCAGGCTGCATTCAC